AAAAACATTATATATATATGTATGATTTTTAGGAAAAAAATCATATATCACACATACATAAAACATATTTATATATACACATATATCTATATTATACATATATATATATATATATATATATAAATATGTTTTATATGTATGTGTGATATATACATGCTTTTCTAAAAATCATATATATATGTGACATATGCATGATTTTTAGAAAAAAAAATACATATACCACATATGCATATAAAACATATATATATATATTATATATATGTGTGTATATATATAAATATGTTTATATATGTGTATATATGTATATCATTTCATTATATATGTATGTGTATAATTTTTAAAATTTTATTTTTATTATTATTATTATTTTATTTTTATTTTGTATTAATTAATATTATTAAATATTATGGATTGATGATGTGGCAGATGAGTAGGATGCCATGTCAGCATTAAATAATATATTTTTTCGTTCAGGGTTTTATTTGCCAATTTTTAAAAGTATAGAGTTTTAATTTCCAATTTTTAAAAGTACAATGTTTTTTTGGATAAAAAAAAGTATAGGGTTTAAATTGCGACGAGAGAAAAGTGCAGGGTTTTAAATGAAATTATCCCTTAAAAAAACGGAAACTTTTTTTTTAGGTAACAAGATAAAATATATCATTTTTAAGATTTTTTTTATATAAATTAGAGCTTTTTTTGGATAACGGAGCCAGATTAGAGTTGTTTTATATGAATTTATGGATGTTGTTTGGATTTTTTTTTAACTTTATGATATTTTTTATATTTTTTTCAGTTAAAATTTATTTAGATCTGTAAATATTTTTAATTTTGATGGAATTTTGGATGTTTTATCTAAGTTAAGTAATATTTTAAAATTACTAATTATTATTGATATATTATTATTATTATTATTATTATTATTATTATTATTATTATTATTATTATTATTACGTATCGTATTAACATGAGGGTGGAGTGGGGCCTACCCATGACGGACCTGCCTATGACCCATGTTGTCTAACGAACG